AAAAAAATCTCATGAGCTGGTCAAATAACCAGGCTCCAAATGAACAAGGATAACATCAGCAGCTTATCTCTGAGATATTCCTCTACCAGGAATGCTGGGTAGTCCCAGGGGCTTAGCTGTAAATCTTCATCCTGTACCTTGTATATTTGCTCCCAATTTGATGCTGCCTTTAGAAGAACTGCTCTCTCTTTCATTACCTGATGACAGGGCTGTCAAACTCCTGGCCCACAGGCTGGATGTGTCACGTGCTGGCCACGCCCACACCCGGTTTAGCGAAGGGGGGAAAAGTCCTGATATGTCACATGACGCTGCCATGACGTGAGTTTGACACCCCTGCCTTATGAGAACCAGACCTATTACAGGTAAGAAAATTGCTATGCACCCATGTATCTGAATCATAGGGAGCATATTTAAGTAAAAAACTGGGTACTTACCCATAGCTGAAGCACTTTAAGTGATGATCTGTGAATTCACACAACTGTCTTCCTACTTTGCTTGGTCTCAGGTGACCTTATCACTGAATCCATTGTGATGTCTTACATACTGAACAGGTCAACAAAACAGAGGCTAATTCAAGTGGTTTGCATAGGGAAGGTGCTCCAGTTAAACAGAGTTCTGAAAACTCTACAAAATTTCAAACAAAATCTTCTGCAGAAAAATAAACCAAGTGTATAAATGTCACTCAAGAAAGTGCAGTTACACATGTCATGCTGGCAAGAATTTGAGTCTATTTGTTTCTATTTTCAATGAATAGAAATGGGAGAGAAAGAAATAGAACAGATGTTTGGTATGTCTTGCAGATCAGAACCATAACTGTAGTGAGCTTTGTACAAGTTGTGTTGAGTAACAACAAGTGCTGTGTTCTGTGCCACGAACAACATCCCATGCAGATTTTAATGATACAAAACATGCATTGATGGGGAGATTTTTAAGGAGATATAACTCCTTAAATGCTGCTACTATACAGAAAAGTGTGTTCTCATGAAACTGATCTGTATTAAACCAGATTTGGTTTTACCCAGTGAGTTTATTTACATAACATACTTTCTATCTGCTAATGGAAAACATTAGTCTTGATTTAGTTCATTGGCCCCTAGAGTAGAACTTATATTGCCATGATAGGAAGTAATGGTAGGAAAAAAAAGTCTTTATGTAGATGAAACTTCCTGTAAAATCGCTAGACATAAGGCAGTATTTATATCAGCAGTTTAATACTAATCTTATAATTCACATACTTACTGAATATCTGATACATTACTGCCTTGAGCTGCATTTCCAATATGGATATGGGCACATATCAAATTCTCTATTTCCAAGAAGGCTGAAAAGTATTGTCCCAGACAGATGTCATTGTGAAGGTCTTTTTCTTCCATTTACTTATGACCGGGGAACTTGGAGAGAGGCAAAACAAATAGTAAATGAGGAAGAGTTTTGTTTTCAAGGGATATTTTCAGAAATTTTGAACCATAGATCACTGACTTTAAGACATTTTGTACACAATCCATAAATTAACCCTCTGTGGACCAGGGAACAGCTTTGAATATCCACCAGCTGATTTATGTCTCCTTTGTGAATGAGCTTTAATAAACTAAACTTAAAGAGATCATTCCCCTTTGAAATGACAGCCTAGAGATACATGCTCGAAGTTTTAAAAATATATAATAGGATATTAAAATAATTAAAACAACAAATCATAAGCAAGTAGTGATAAAGTATTAATCCCTACAGTGTCATTTACAACGTTGTTGTAAAATATCTTAATTCTTGATTCAATTATACATTAGGAATATCTAATGAACTGTCATAATAACAGTCCATAGAGGCTCTTTACTGCAGATGCTTGCCCTGCATTCATGACAGAAAAAAGGATTAACATGCCAACTGACACAGTTGAAAGTCCAAAAGGAAGTTACCAAGGAAGAAGAATCAGAAAATCTAATAGACTCACTGAGGATTTCTCTGTAAAAGGATAAATGATTCCCTAAAAACAGTTTATCCAGAATTATCTATCACCATCTAAATGTGCAGCTTCAAAAAGCAGTTTTATGTGTTCCCACATAACAGTGTTATTATGGAATCACCCAAAAGTGAGATTCAACTTAACACAGGTTAAGTTATCTTGAGTCAAGGACAAATTTTTGTAACCCTAAAATGCGTAAGATTTTTTTTTCTGACATGCATGTATTCGTTACCATTTTTGTCCTGAGAGTTAAAAACTTGGAAATTGTTGCTGCAATCTCAGATATCCCTGTATACTGAATACCAACTAGAAACCAACCAAAATTTAGCATCATCTGTGTTGACCAGCAACAGTTCTTTAATAATTTACAGAGGAGGTTTTCTCAGGCACTGGAGAAGCCTGGGATTGTACTCTTTTGCCTGGGATTGTATTCTTTTGCAACTGAATGATATGTTCTACCACTGAGTTATCACCCATTTCCGAAGATAATTTCCTCAGAAATCGAACCAAAGCCTGGGTAGTTCTTGTGTTATACATCTTAAACACCAGGCCTTTAAATAATGTGTAATTTCTTGTCAAATAACACAAAGCAAAATCACCTGATTTCACTTCAGAGAATGCTTTATAGGGAGTTAAATTTGGGGAGGACAGTGTTAACATGTGAAGCTGAAAGCATTTGCCAATCTAAATAAAGGGCTCTTATGGGTCAAGACATAATTGTATAATTTAGAATTTAGCTTGCCAGTAAGTTAATAAAGTGGTAGGCACTTTATAGGGCCTCTATTACTCATTCATAGGAAAGTCATACTATAATTGTACAAAAAAAAAAAAAAGATTTCCTTAGGTTCTTCTACGAATTTATTCTCTCCAAAATCACTATAGCATGGAATTTGCTTCCATGTGTGTTGATTAAAATAAAGGATCTTTTCTCTGGGTCAAGTTCTGTCTAGAATTTCAGAGAAGGGGCAGCTCTAGCTATTCACAGCTAGGTGCATTGTTAAAGCTCATACTATCACTTTGACATTTAGAGGTAGGACTCAATGTCTTTGTAAATTCTTCTTCTTCATATTACTGCCATGTCTCTGGGCTCCAACCGTTTCACAAACCATAATATTTTTTAGTGAGTGATTGATCTGTATTATGTGTCTCGGCCATCAGAGGAATCTTGAGATGTTGCTTGTATAAACCGTAATACAATCTGACACTGAGTGTTTGGTTACAGGCTTTCATAGACCCATTGGCGATACACAATCCTCCTGGATTTGGGCATAAGGCTTATCTGATACCTTCCCAAAAAGTCCCTCATTTTCTCCGTTCCCCACTTAAATAACTCAACACATCTGGGTTAACACTGTAGGATCATTGTCCTTTCAGTTCTGCTGCAGCTCAGATTGCTACAATATTTCCTTAAGTATCTGATTACTGAAAGGGCAAGACAAATTTTCTCTCTGAAAAGGAGGCTGTTCTTAAAGAGACTTAGAAATTAATTCCCGTGCATCATTTAAAAAAAAAAAAATTAATTGGTTCCATTCGCAAAGGTGTCTTGCTAAGCATGTTTGTTTAAGAAATCAAAAGTATACTGCTGTGCATGTTTACTCAGAAGTAAACTATATAAGGCTCAGTGTGGCTTTCTTTCGTACCTAAGGTTTTAATCTAAACATAATAGGGTAGGGGAAAGGCTTATATATGAAGCTATAATTGTCATCGAGAATGTTAAGAGGTTTATAGAAGTAACGTTTGGGCCTTTATTTTCCATACTGGCTTCAGTTACAAGAATGATAAAAACCTGAAACTGAATACTCGTAATTCAATAATAAATGGACACCATTTTAGGCAAGAGGGAGGGAGAATTTGATATAGACCCATATACCTAGGAAATTAATCATGGAAGAATAAACCTATAGCAGGCAGGATAGCCGTAAGGTAGGTATATATTAAATATATTGCTCTGAATTCTCCAATACTATTCTAGCAAAGGGGGCTAGTAATCAGAGGTCCGATTTCTTATACTATTTCCAGTGAGACCATAATCTAGCTGAAACTATGTTTGTTTTTTATTTTGGATTCTATTCAATTTTTAATGGGAACATCTGAGAACCTTAAAGATAATAGTTTGCTAAATAACAATTCCATGTTGGTAAAAGTTTTTTGTGCACAAGTCAATGTCTTTTCAGGGATAGGCTGCTAAACCCAAATACCGTGTGTGTAGAATATGAATTGAGTTATAAAGATTAACTGCTTTGGGCTTAAAAACAAACATATTAGGTGTAACAGGCTGAATTTTTAATAGTTCTCAGAAGGTTGTTATGATCTCTGTATGCCTGGTAGCTTATTTAATTTATATTTTAATATAGTGGTTTTCTAACTTTGTAGTACCACAACCCACTAAGATGTATTTGTGTAAAACTCCCCCATGAATAAAACTAATGCTTTATTGGTGTTGGGTTTGGGCAAGAAATAAATATAACTGTTTTTAATAATTAAATTTTAATCTATACATCACACAGCCTTGTAATATAGCAGCTGCCCACTTGGGGCTTGTTCAGACAAAATAAGGAACCAACCATAGGGTGAGTTTTGACAATATTCCCATTATGCCTGCACAAAGCCTGATTTTGTGTCTGTGTGGGGGGGGGGGGAGTTGGCCTCTAAATTGCGCATAGTCCCCTTGGGGGGGTCTCAACCTACAATTTGAGAACTCTTCATTTTAATAAATAAAAAAACCAGTGCTTTACTTTTTTAAAATTAATTTGAAATATAGTTTTTTAAAAATATACCTATATATAATGTGCCTTCAGGATTCAAATGCTTTTTTATTTAAGCCTCCCTGTGTTCTTAGTTTAGCATCCTTTAATAACTGTGTAATTATCTTGCTGGAAACTTGTTCTTTTTCTTTCAGGTGGTAGAGATAATGTCAAGTGCTATTGGCGACTTAATACAAGGAATATATTACGAAAATTCAAGCTTGGGAAAGGTAAATCAATAGTTCACAAGCGTACTTGTGTTTATATCACTTTCTTCCTCTTATGTTAAAAAACAAAGCTTGGGTTAATCTGAGTCAAAACTTCCCTTCATGTTACACTTATTAGTACATACCTGTCATGCCCTTGGTAGAGTCGGACTCTGAGGGAGACGAGGAACAGTCAACAGGGAGTGGAGGTGTGGCTCTGGAGGAGGCTGGAGAAGGGCAGAGGCCGGTTGGGCAGTCAGAGGAAGAACCAGGCCCATCTCCTCTTCATCCTAGGACACGCAGGGAGGAATGGAGAAGGAAACAACTTGGCTTACAAGAGAGAGGAAGAGAGGAAGCGGCCATGATCCCCCTCATTAGTTGCAGTTGGGGAGAATAGTATATAAGAGAGACGGTGACAACACAGCATTGCCAGAAGCAAAGTGTGTTTTATTTTGGGCTGAAGTTATCTTGGTTGGCGTCCTTCCAACAGACTGTGCCTTGTTATCTCCTTGAAGTTGGTAATTACTTATCCTGGTCTGTTGTGGAAATTCCTTTGTTGTAGTTTGTTTTAGTTTTTTATTTCACCTCTATCTGCTCATTAAGTTTGGACTGTATTGCTTTCTTTTAAAGACTATTTCTGAATAAGTTTTATCTCCAACTGAGAATTATTGAACAGTGGGGCCACGTTGGAGGCATTAAAGGACATTTATTTACATTTTGGATTTTGTTACGTTTGTGTTACACTCCGGGTCATTATAATACCTTTTCAGAGCATAGCTCTATCAGTCAGATGCTCTAATTATAGAAAACATCTCTTTTCTTTTTCTTGGTATATTTTGTATTTGTAAATATAGGTAGTCCTCCACTTATGACCACCATTTAGCAGAATTTTGTTTCTATTGCTAAGGAAGTTGTTAGGCAAGTCACACCCCATTTTACAACCTTTGTGACATGGTTCTTAAGCAAATCACTGCAGTTCTTAAGTGAATCTGGCTTCCTCCATTGACTTTGTTTGTCAGAAGTTCGCAAATGGTAATCACATAATCATCCCGGGACAGGGCAACTGTCATAAATACATGCCAGTTGCCAAGCATCCAAAGTTTGATGATATGAACATGGGGGTTTTGCAATGGTCATAAGTGTGAAAAGTAGTCATGTCACTTTTTCAGTGGTGTTGTAACTTTGAATGGTCACTAAACAAATGGTTGTAAGTTGAGGACTACCTGTATAAGACTGTCTCCTTGGAAGGCACTTGGGAAGGTTGCCAATGGCATTCACATGACTTAAGAGCCATGGTGGCACAGTGGGTTAGAATGCAGTATTGCAGGCTACTACTGCTGACTGCTGAATACCAGCAGTTCGACAGTTCGAATCCCACCAGGCTCAAAGTTGGCTCAGCCTTCTATCCTTCCGAGATGGGAAAAATGAGGACCCAGATTGTTGGGGGCAATATGCTGACTCTGTAAACTGCTTAGAGAGGACTGTAAAGCACTATGAAGCGGTATATAAGTCTAAATATAGTGCTATTTAATGACTATTCAAAACCAAGCTGGATTTTTAAAAAGCTATGTACAACAAAACCTTGAAGTTACAACTTCCAGATATACATCTGGGCACATTTGCATGATTGCATTTCAGGTGCTTGGCACCATTAAACACCATTTGTGGTCATGTGATCGGGGTTTGAATCCCCCCCCCCATTTTCCAGAAAAATGGCGAAAAACACCCATTGAAAATGCTGGATTAGCTTAATGACTGTTGTGACTTGCTTAATGACCCTCATCAAAGTCATCATGCCATCCAGTCTATTATGTGGTGCCTCACTTAACAACTACAACAATGTACAAATAAAATTCCAGACTTAGGTTTGACTGTAGGTCAGGGGTGTCAAACTCAAGGCCCATGGGTCGGATCCAGTCTGCGAGGTGCTTAGATATGACCTGCAGGGCCACCCTGGAAACAGCAAAGGACCAGCCCGCAGTGCCTCTGCCAGTGAAAACGGACCCTCCTGAGCTTCGTTTTCTCTGGCAGAGCTCTTGCAGCCAAAAACAGATCTCGGGAGCCCGTTTTTGCTGGCAGAGGCACTGTGGACACAAGTGATATCGAGCTGGCCATGCCCACCCCAGCCTCCTGAGGTCAGACACAACCCTGATGCGGTCCTCACTGAAATCGAGTTTGACACCTCTGCTGTATGTCAAGGACAACCTGTATACATCTCTTTGGAAGTTCTATATAGTTGTATCTTTTATCTTTGTAATACCTGTCAGAGCCCTTTCGGACAAAGCTAGATTCCTTAATGTGTTTCTGTAATTGTCTGAAAAAGAATGGAGAAAAGATTGAGTGGTAAAAAACAGAACAGAACAAAGGTCAGCTTGCAGCTGAAGTTTACCTCAAAATAATAGTGTAATAAGAGAAAGCTGTGCTCTTTTATTATCTATCTTCATTTCATTTTTCTTTCACATTTAATTTTCCCTTTAAGGTATATTTCGTGGTATAAGGATGGAGCCCTCTTTTTTTTTTTCATTTAAACATGGTTTACTGTGGAATTTGAATAAAATATAATGCATTTTATGGGTCCATTTATTCTAACCCCTTTTATCACAGACATCAAAGGCATATATTAATAGACCAATAAAATATGTCCTGTCATGTCCAACAAGCAGTAAGACATCTGCTAAGTGAGACATCAATCACATGCAAGATGTTTGCAGGGTTACTGTGTTGCTGCTGAAGACTCACAATTTTATTGGCTTTTTTTCCTACACAGATGGGAAAATAAAGATTGTTGAATCATCTCACTTTGTAGCTGAAGCACTGAATGATCCAAATTGCAGTGTTTTTTTTTTTTAGCCCATGCATTGTTCTGACTTAGATTTAACTGAAGTTTGCAATGCCATATTGTCTGTGTGATAGGGTGTGACAAACAGCAGTGTCACAAATTAAGATGTACTTTAAATCATGTAGAATCCTTTTTTTTAGAAACTTTAGTTTATTGCATATTTCATGCGTTTCTTTTTGAAATATTTTTATAATTATTTTCTATTCTTTTCTCTATAGCCTGATGGCTTGGAGAATTCACTGGAGTTCCACTGGCTGCATTAAATACACAATACAAGACACCGTATTTTTTGGAGTATAAGACACTCCGAAATATAAGATGCACCTAGCTTTTGGAGAGGAAAAAAAATCTGCCGAGGCTGCAGAGATTGCCATTGCCTATTGCTGCCACTGTGTGCCCCATTTTCAGCCTCCGCACGCCCCGTTTTTGCCTCATTCAAGGCAGCAGGGATTGGAACAGGGGGAAAACAGATGCGCGGAGGCAAAAAATTGGATATAGAGACTGAAAATGGGGTGCACGGTGGCAGCAATAGGCGATGGCAATCCCTGCAGCCTGAAACAGCTGATCGTTGGGAGGCCAAGCCTACCGACAATCAGCTGCTTGTGCTAATCAGGCTGTGCTGAAGCTGAAACAGGCTGTTTGCTGTAAGAAGGCAAATTGCTGGGAGGCAGAGGCCGAAGGATGGGGGACAGCAAGTGGGCGGGACTTCGGCAACATTTGTTGTAGAAGACGCACAGACATTTCCACCCGCTTTTGGGGGTGGAAAAAGTGCACCTTATACTCTGAAAAATATGGTATTATATGCTAAAGTGGACTAGATGAAGTGAACTGAGATGGAGTAAAGAAGGCACATGTTGTGATACAGGCAGTCCTTGCTTACCGACTACTTGTTCAGCAACCAAAGTTACAACAGCACTGAAAAGGAGATTTACAACAGCTTCTTGAAATTGCATCCACATAGTCATATGGTTGCAATTCAGGCACTTGGCAATCAGTGAACATTTATGATGGTTGCAGCATCTCCACAGTCTTGTGAACACTATTTGCGACCTTTGTAGCTGGCTTTCAACAAGGAAAGTCAATGGGGAACCCCAGCAGGAGTCACCAGTTGTTTTTCACATGACTTCATACTTAATGATCCACAGTAATGCGCTGAACAACTGCAGCCAGAACTGATGTTGTAAGCCAGCATGGTCGCTTGATGTTTCATTTAATGACTATGCCACTTAGCAATGAGAGTTCCTATTGTTAGTAAGTGTTAGTAATACAACCATTGCAGCATTCCCATGGTCAGATGATCAAAATTCAAACACTTGGCAATGGAGTCATATTTATGACAGTTGCAGTGTCCCAGGGTCATGTGATCGCCTTTTGTGACCCTCTTGACAAGCAGAATCAATGGGGAAGCCAGATTCATTTAACGAAGTATGACTAACTTAAGAACTGCAACGATACACTTAGCAATTGTGGCAAGGAAGTTAATAAAATTGGGGTGAAACTCACAACTGTCCCACTTAGTAACAGAAATTTGGGCTCAATTGTGGTCACAAGTCAAGGACTACCTGAATTCTGGACTGCATCCAGGATCTTTTGTACTTTTCCCCTCTACCTCCTTATGTCCCCAATCTGCCTGGAGGGGGTCCCAATGACATCCTAAAAATATCTGGGGAGAGGAGTGGGATTCTACCAGTTCGCACCTATTCGCTACAACCAGTTGTTAACATTCTAAACATTACTGGCCTAATCCTGTAAGGAAGGCAGGAAGGAAACATTATGGTGTTGCTTATAGAAACTGCCTCTTCGTTAACCCTTATTACATTCTTGGCAGGACTAGACTTCCTGTCTCTGGAACGTCTCTGGAGTTTTTTTCCCCCTCCTTTGCTGGTACTTTGCTTGTGTGGAGTAACCATTCGAAGTTACAATGGCACTGAAAAAAGTGACTTATGACCCTTTTTCACACTTATCACTGTTGCAGCATCCTCATAGTCTTGAGAGGCCAGGTGAGGAGATGCGTGCTTCGATGTGAGTGATATTGAGTTGGCCACGCCCAGTCAATAACATGACCACCAAGCCATGTCCACCCAGTCACATGACCATCAAGCCATGCCCACCACCTTAGCCATGCCCACAGAACTGGTTGTTAAAAAATTTGAATCCCACCCCTGGGAGAGGGCATGTGTATTGCATATTCTTGCAGACGGCCAAAAATATTTTTGCAACTAATACGAAGTAAATTGGGAATGGGCTATACAGTATACTGTAATAGTGCTGGTAGAAAAAGCCCCTTTAGTCAGACTCGAATGATGTTTGACAGTGAGGAGAAAGTTTGATTGGAAGGATGTTTCAGGGCTTGAGGATGTAGCTTAGATTGAGGATATTTTGTATGAATTATAGAGACAGAAGACAAATTACCACAGTGCCTGGCAGAGGGAGATAAGATGGGAAGTCGTGGATGGAGTTCTGGGAGAAGGAGATGCCGTCCTCTTCATATTTAATTGCCTCTTCCCTACATTCTCTGTGGTGTTGCTGGGTTTCTTTGCTTCAGGCTTCTGTTAGTTAATGCCAGGTTTCTTTGTAATAATCCTCCACAACTTGTTAATTGAGAAACAAATGGACCTGCTTATGTGAGACCTGTCTGGATGAGAATGGGGGCAAGTGCTTAACCATAGAGAGGACTAGATAGAATTTACAAGGAAGATGAAAGATGGAATCAGAATATCCTATTTCCAAATTCTATTTTTTTGTCCCAGTATTTAGTCCACTTTAGCACATAATATATGTCTTGTGTGTTTAATAATATCAAACAGTTTCACCGCAATGCAGGAACTGTCATATTTTAACTTTCTTTTTAAAATGTGGTTGCATTTATATAAACTTTGGCCAAAATGTTATCTTTGTATTTGCATCCTAAATATATTTATGAAACTATAAATTATACTAAGACTTTTCACTTTACTTCTGAATTATGTATGTGTCATAACTTATCATACTATATGATGTTTCTATTAGTACTGGGGAAAGTTTCAGCTTCATTTATAAAAGGTCCTTTGGCATATATGAAGGTAGAAAGGAAAGCAGAGTGAGGAGACTACTCCACAGCATAGGGACAGTGACTGAAAAAGCACACTTCCTAGGTCCCATGAGATGGCAAAGTTTGAAAGAGGAACCTGAGGCAAGTCCTCCTTATGGGAGCTTGTTGGATGGGCAGAAGTTTCTTGGGAGAAGGATGTTCTCCAGAAACTGGGCATTGTGGTTTAGGTCAGTGTTTTTCTAACTTGGCAAATTTAAAATGTGTGGACTTCAACTCCCAGACTTCTTCAGCTAGAATATTGCAAGCAAGTTCTATGTTCATGCTTCTGGGCACTCCAAAACATTTTTTTTTAATCAAAAGTGAGGGCTTGCATTGCCATAATTCTTACAAGAGAAAAATAATTCTTACAAAGTGTGACGTTTAAAATATAAATGGATAAAATTCCATGGGATATATGAAAATACAGAGATGTCATAGTTATATCTTCAGGAAATAGCAATAACAATAGCACTTAGACTTATATACTGCTTTATAGTGCTTTCCATCCCACTCTAAGCAGTTTACAGAATCAGCATTATTGCTTCCAACAATCTGGATCCTCATTTTACCCACCTCGGAAGGATGGAAGGCTGAGACAACCTGGAGCCTGGTGGGATTTGAACTGCCAAATTGTAGGCAGCTGGGCTGCAGAAGTAGTTTGCAGTACTGCACTCTACCCACTGCGCCTCAGAGACTCCTGTCACCCATCTTAATTTTTTTTCAACATTGTAATATCAGATGCACTGTTGTTATTCCTTAGAAATATCCTAAGAGAAAGCAGCTTCCCTGTTTTGTGTGTATATACACACATCTTTCAGGACCTCCTACATTGGAGTGTGTGTGTTTCCATATTTAAAAGTGATCGTTTTCATAATACTGTAGCATTTTATTCAGTAATTGTTTTTTAAGCATCAAGACAAATATATAGTTATAATAGCAGTTACTGTGGACTGATACAGAAATGTCTGGGTCTGCAAGTTATTTTCAGGATGGCACCCACCCATTGTTATGCACGTATACTAGTTATTTTAAATACATTTGACATTATAGGAAGCTATCTGTTTCACATGTGGGCAGGCAAGCCTTGCAGAATGTTAATTAAAATAAACGAAGCAGTTGATTTGCATCCATTATTAATAGGTACTCAGACTGAATGCCGTCTTTAGATGCTGTTGCTTCTTCTTCCGTGTCTAGACTAAACTTTAAACTGCCAGAATGAAGCCACCTTCTTGGTTTTGTCATTGGCCAAAAATAAATCACTCTTGGTACATGTTTCTGATAGTAGCTAACATACTAACCAATGGGCTGAGTTCTGTTTCTCTCCACATTCACACAGCGTGGTATTATCTGCTAAGAGCCTTCACAGGACGTATTGATTTTACACTTAGGTATGCCAATTCTCAACCTATTCAGGGTCTCCTGAATAGGTCGGATCCTTCAGCCAGATCCTCCTTTAATGTTATTCCTTGCCTGATAGTCTTCTTCCTCCATCTTTTAATTTGATTTTGTTCTTGTGTACCCTCAAGAATGTTTGTTTGTGCCATAAAGCTGTTCCTAGATCTGACTTGGCGGGCTTGGGGCCGTTCAGAGGATGTCAGGAATCATTCTCTTGCTTAGCTCTCTCAGCGTCTGCTGCTATCGTTCTCTTGATCTTATGTGGAGCAATGCCACTGAGAGGATATATTTTCTCAGTTGGTGTAGGTTTGAGGCATCCTGTCCCTGGCGATATCAGCTTGTTTCGCATGCGCAGATGTGCCCCACACTGGAGTAGCATGCTCTGCTGCAGAAACATTCAAGGCCAAAGCTGATGTTTGCAACATAGATGGTTGAGTTCCCTTGATGGTGTTATATGGTCTTAATGCTACAAGTGCTACCATAGGATTCCCAGCTAGCTCATCAATAATTGATCCTTGTGCGTCCACTGCTGTATCGTCCGCATAGACAAATAGACATGTGTTGTTGGGAATTGGTTAATCAATTGTATATAAGTTATGCAATGTTGGAAACAATACACTTCCTTGTGGCAGCCAGTCCATCTGCATCTTCCACTTCTGTTCTTACCATTCAATGTCACATAAAATCGCCAGTTCTGAAGGAAGCTGCCTGATGCAGTTGATACAGTTCTGCAAATGATAATAGCCAGACATTTATACCGAACCGACTGAGATTATTCATTTTAGGTAAAATGTAAAAACTGAAAATGAACATGCACCTTACTAGACAACAAACTTAACTCCTTTCAGAATATGCCCTACGATTCTTCTGCATAAAGAATGAGATTTAACAGCATTTAAATGAAATCATACTCATTTAAATAAAAATGAATAAAATCACTTTTCAGAGTGAGTTGGTCAGCATATCAACTTAGTAAGTAAATAGTAATTCAGATTTTAGGTGAACATGCAATTGACCGCCGAGCTTTTAGAGCATATACCTTGATACCTATTGCTCTGTTGTCCTCATTCACCAATTCCAAAACATTTCATCTTCAAGGCTCATAACATTTGCATCAAATCGCAGATAATTAACATTTTATTTTGGTGTCCATTTTTAACTGTGCTTGAAATCCAGGTAATGTTCTAAACTATACATGATTGCCACTTACTGAACTGTCACAAATAGAAGAGTAGAAGTGTGGTTGCCTTCTTTTTTCCTTCATGGAATTTGAAAGCAACGAAATGAAATGATACAATGTTCAGCAAGCTGGCTTTGAGGAATTGTACTACTTTTTCCCATCAGTCTCATATTATCTCCTTGCAACACAGCACTCTTTGGCAATGGCCACAAAGGAGGAAGATTACAACTGAATGCAGGGATTTCGTTTCGTTTCTTACCAATTTTATGTCAGATAATACCTTACTAGAAAATTATAGTGTCATGCAGATTTAGTTCTCTCCTCTGAGCAACTTAATTGAAGTAACTCATAGAGCCAGAATTGTGTAGATGGCATAATCACTTTTTGCCTGGATTTTTAGCTCCCTTCCAGTCCATCCCGAAGGCAATGACCAAATAGATTCTGTGTTGTTTTGCAGCTATTTACTCTTAATAGAGACCATTAAACCCCTTCATGTAGATAATAGAAAAAAACGAAAAGTCACTGCAGTAATAACAAGTACTAGATATAATTAAAATATTGGTGAACCATTTTTGAATAATATATATCATATCAACCTACAGGTATGGATATTACATTGCCCATAAAAGTGAATGCAGGTTCTGTCTGTACATTATGGGATTTTTGTTTAACAGGTGATCTCAGGTGCAATCAATCGTATCTGGGGTTCTGAAGGCTTTTCCTAAGACCTTGAGTGTCTGTAGTTGTTGGACTATCCCAGGCAGATTTAAATGCTTTTAATATGAAGGCAGCTTGATGTTTGTTTGTTCGTTTGTTTGTAGATATCCCACCTTTAAAATTGTACAATAATTATAAATTCATAGCTAAGGCAGGACTTGAACTTACAGTTTCTTGCTCTCTAGCCTGGTGCCTTAACCACTAGAACAAACTGGTTTTCTAAATGTACATTTATGTCTTATGTCCTGAAACCCCTTTTGTTGTTAGTCCTTTAAAGCAAAGGAAGGGGATGATTCTAGAAAGAAAGCAAGGAACGGTTCAGAAACTCTGTCCATCATAAAGCTTTTCCTGTAGCCACCTATTTTTTATAGATTCATATTTTCTTCCAGGCTAATATTTATATTTTTGTTTTGCTTTGCTTTGTAATCATACTTACATTAGTGGTGTAATAATTAGTAGTTGTATAGTAGTTAGCTATACAATTCAGTCACTTTACAATCCCAGCATAGAGATAGATCACAGAAATTTATAGCTTGGTTTGTAAGCTAAGGGAGATAAATGCCAGGGGGAGAAAGATATTGAGAATATTCCGCAGAGGCTTAACATTTTTTTAAAAAACCATTTGTTTCTATAATTTCTGTCTTTTAAGCCAGCAAAATGAATTGCTTCAAGTGGCACATATTAAACAATTACATTTTTCTATCATTGTTGATTATTTTTAGAATGGGTAACATCTTTCTTTGGGTTTCTAGGAAAACATTCTCACAGACGACATCAGAATATCAGATTGGAAAGAGAAGGTTTTCCAATCTCATTGTGTTTTGCTGGCAAAAAGCTGCAAGGCTGCAATGGAGCTGGCAAAGCATGCTGTGGGGATTCAGAAGATGGCGTTTAAGTATGGAAAGCACATGTCTATGTGTCACAAGGTATGATTTCTCTCTTCTTTAAAAGTTTCCCGAATGGCCAAGCAGCCAGCATCCTTTTTCAAGAAGCATGTCTTTCTGTAGATAATACGTTTCTTAAAAATGTGTGTGCGCCCGTGCACACACACACATACATTTAGTTCATTTGTGACTAAACTGCATGGAAAAATACTTATATGAAGTATTTAGCATATCACAGCATTCATTTCCCCGTACTAAGTTGATTCGATATATACTTACAGCCTTTAAAAGTGAGACAGCTGTCAAAGTAGCCAACTAATCCCAGGAAGCTAATGTGAGTGAATAGGAGGAGTGAGCAGAAGGTTCATAGGGAGCTCAGTATGGAATTAGAGAGATTTGGGGAGTTATGATAGCTGCCTGAGCATCTGTGGAAGGGGACAAAAGAAAGTACTTGGCTGCGCTGGAATGTATTTATCTAGAAAATCGCATCCCATTTGTTCATAGTATGTATGGCAAGTAATAACTGTAATGTTAACAACAAGCAAATGAAACCATCAATATAAAGATTCAGTTAAAATATTAGAATAATCATATCTCAATAGCTGTGTAAAGATCAGCTGACATTTGAATGAGTGTTGGAGGTGTTGGCCATTTCCAAAAGAATGGTTCTTCTTGAAGTAATTTCTGCCCTTATTTGGTGATTTTTTAACAGACACTTGCTCCAATATAGTATGCACTTACCCACCCACTCCCAATTTGGTAAGTAAGAGGCCAAAGCAACCTGAGGTTGAAAGGTTTAATTATAAAACAGGGAGAGAGAAAAAGGAATGACTGTGACTAAATGGAACCATTTCTCTTCTACTCTTGCTGTTCAGCCCTCCTGTTGCTCTGACAGCGGAGGCCTTTCTCTTCCTTTCCCAAGCAGGCATTGGGGAGGGATAGATGGCTAACATCACATTTTAACTTAGTCTTGGGAGCCAAAGTAAGGGGGCTGCAGGATTTGCAGCTGCGTTGGTTATTATCATCACAACAGGCCCCTGGCTACAGTCACCTTGCCAATTTTCTATGCTGCCAGTTCTCTATTCTTGTTGACTTAGTAGCTGTATGTGATATTGCCTCCACCTTTGAATGCTCAAGGTTGAGCAGACTAGGGAAGAGAAGCCAAACAGGGCTGATGAGAGACAATGTTGATTGCTGCAGACATTGACAGAAGAGAGATTGTGTATTGACATTGTCAGAAGAGAAATTGGTCAAATCTACCCACGTAAGGCATAGACAGTCTCCTCTTCAGATATCTTGAATGGGACCTAACTTGGAGTTTAGAGCTACCATATTTCGACTATATTCTGGACGATCATTAGATGGCAGCAATGAGATAGAAATGTCTAATGTCTGGATTTTTGCAGCCCAGATTTGGAAGCTTCAATAAATGACAATAATACCAAAATTTCCCTTTCTTAATTGCTCCACTGCACCTACATGCTGGGAAGAACCAAAGTTATATAGGTGAAAATATATAAGATTGTGTCAGACAGAAAAGGTTGCTGCTTACTTTATATTTGTTCATTTATTTATTTTTATTAAATTTATATGCTGCCCATCTCGCCATCAAGGGACTCTGGATAGCTTACAATATAATAAAAACAACAATATAGAAATAAATTCTTTATTTGAATACTTGAACTTTTGAATTAGTACTTGAGTTTGATTAAATGTGCATTGTAACATTTTATCCAGAAGCCTCTGGGCAGAATAGTTCTCGGTCACCTAGTTTAGTATGGTATATCTGCGTGTGTGTGTGCGTGTGTGTGTGTGTGTGTGTGTGTGTATGTGTTTGTCTGATTTATTTTGGCCATGTCATGCATGCAAATTCATTGGAGAAGTCAGTGACGCTATGATTGGTTAGTGGCTCAAGAAGAAGGGGCAAGCAAAGAATTTGCTGGCTTGATACCATCAAAGGTGATACAAAGATGAACACCGAACAACTAAAAGAAGCTGTGCTTGACAGGATAGCATGGAAAGCACTTGCTATAAAGTCACCAAGAGTCAGACCTGACTGTTGAAAGTAACAAACTACAGCATGTGTGGTGAAATAAGAAAAGATAGGGTCAAATAAGAATGGATGAATGATAAGTGAATATAGATTGAACACAAACTTATGCAACCGGTAGAAGAGGAATATGTTGAGGAGGTTTGTCATATAAAGACAATGAAGGAGGGCCAAACAAATGTATGAAGTAGGAGAAAGTTGAGAGAAAGTGGGAGAATGAGACAATCATGTTTGGATGGGATTGATGTGATCCTCAAAATGAGAGATGAGTTGATTAAAGAAGAAAAGGCCGTTTATAGATTAGTGTGTAGACATAATAGAAGCAAGGTTGGAAGTTATAGATATAATGAACGGTAAGTTGAAGTAAGATTGGTTTAGTTAAATTTCCACTTTGCTCTTCTGCCCTTGTTTTTGACTTTTCTGCACTTTGTATCATGGTGCTTAACCTGAAGAGAATAGCCCACAAATATATAGATGACAATGTTGGTGAGTTGATTCAAATCTCAGATGATCTCCAGTTGTCTATAGTACTTTCTCTATGATTAATGAATAATTGACATTCACTCCTATTCAAGGATAAAATAGAAGTTAACCATCTTTTCAGCCCAGGGTATCCCCATCAAAAAAAGGTCACTTCAAATTTCACCAGATTTGGTTTACTTTTTAAAGTTCACTTTGTGTCCTACAAATCCAAACCACCAACATTTGAAGTAAAATTATGTATATGGAGGCAATGTCTTGGTAGGAACAGAATCTAACTTCCATCCCACTTCCATCCCTGGTAGTTACAGAGGTCCTATTCTATTTCATGTGCATGTTCAGCTTCTCGCATGCTTCTTCAAAATATGCTTCTTGTTAGATTTTAATTGAATAGACATAGGAACAGCTTGAAAACCCCTTAATAGTGTGTGTTGGTACAAAGCATTTTATCTTGTTTTTTTGCAACCTTCATGTAATATTAGTTGTTGTTAAATGATTTCCTACTCTTAACTTCATGATTTTAATCCCCTTCTTTCAGCTAAATGCTGATATTCAGCCGTTTATTGATGGAAATTCAAATGAGTCCCTGCCATTTAACTTAAATTCTGCTCCTGTAGTATTCCATCAAGAGTTTGTTGGAAGAGAAGTCTGGATGAAGCAAATTAAAGAGGTAAATAGGTCAATTACATCTGTAGTGGCTGTTTGTACATCTTACAAAATCATAATCATCCCTTCATATTAAATTGTTTTAAAAAAACATAGTTAACATTTACCACAGCTATAGAGTCTGAATCCAACTATTCAGTTTGATAAAAAGTATTGTTGTTATAATTCTCTTTTTTCTTCCATTTGAAGAACACTAAGCATTTATAAAAAGAATCAGTTTTGCTATTTCTGCATGTTTATTATTTAGTAGAACTAGAAATTAAATGTGCTACTGTTGAATGTGTTTAAGTGCATAAAGTCTATGATTCTTATGGTAATTTCTTTTTAAAATTCATCCGGTTAGACTCAATTTTATTAAAATACAAAAATAAATGTAATTTTAAATATGCTTGCCTTCCCTACAGTTTTAGTTTTACAATAGTTGAATATTTCTAGCATAAAGCAGAGGGAATGAGCTGCTCATGCATATATGATTATAATTCAAAACACAGCTGGTTGGGCACATGTTAGCCAACTGTCTTTGATATTATTGCTTATCTTATGATTGTGGTTCCTTCCCAAAAGCTTATCTCAATAGAAGCATTTTAATGTAAGCCTCGATGTAAGTCCTCTAATACATGACTCTTTCTTCAGTGGATAGTTTAAATAGGAAATAGAGTGAAGCACCCCATCAGCAAGCACCCCTTCCGTCTTTTCTTCCCAGGGAACCCTTCAAAAAGTTTGACGGTGTGTATTTTCTACATTGCAAGCCCTGTCTTTCCGTAAGGCTGATCCTTCAGAGCTGTATTTGCTACTATGGGTTACATTCAGAGGTGGATGTAATTTGCTTGCTCCCATTCTTTCTCATGAGACTGTAATTGCATAGAGGAAAGTAATGCGGAATATGGCTAAGGGCCATGCTTCATTGATCCATAAACTCATCACAGTCTTTCTCAGAAGCAAAAGAAATAATTCCACTTGAGGGGTAGTTATAAGAGGTAGCTCCTTTGTACAGGGTGTTTCATGTCCACTCTCTTAAAGATGTCAGTAGAACATAAACTAGTAGACATCTGACAAGCCAAATGTGAGTTCTTAAACCTGATGACAAAACATATGGGTTTTCTATTTAGCACAGAGACGCGATGGCTCAGTGGTTAAAGAAGCTGAGCTTGTCAGCTGGAGAAGTTTGAGACCCAAGCTTCGCGCAAGGGCACCCCATTACTTGCTCCAGCTCCTGCCCACCTAATATTTTGAAAGCATATAAATGAGAGTAGATTAATATGAACCACTGTGGTGGGAAGGTAACCGTGTTCTGTATGCCTTTGGCGTATAGCCTAGCCGTGCTGGACACATGACCATGGAAATTGTCTTCAGACAATGCTGATCCCTCGACCAAGAAACAGAGATGAGTTGGACATGACTGACAGAAAACTTTTACCTATTTAGCACAAAATGTTAGAGTTTTCTTCAAGTTTTGTGAGCTTATGATTTACAGGCTTGTAATAATATAATTTTATTTGTTTTTCTTACATGGTTTAAGACTCAGGGCAAAGAAGATTTAATAGACTATAGCAAGGTGAGTAGCTAAAATAGGTCTTCATTCTAAAGACTTGTTAACTTTTATGTTTGAAGGAATATATGAACGAGCCTTGCTATTACTTTTATAGTATTTCCATCTCAGATTTCAATCACAAATTGCCTCGTAAAGCAGCTTATAACAGTTACAGTACAATGTGTGTGATACAGGTATATAAACTGAAATAATGGGGCAGGATTGGATTTTCAGCCGAGTCTGATTTCAGGCATGATAGACTCAGAACTGGATGCACTTACAAAGGAGCACAGCAATCAGGTGTACAGCCAGCAAATATTCCTATATCCAAGTGGGTTTCTTATTGCTCCTGTGTATTACTGATTCAATTATTGTTGTTCTTGTTTTTAGAAGGCTTATTAGGATTAGATTTGAGAGCCTTAGGCTAATTATATTCTAATAACTTACTTTGGGGGAACCTTCATAACTTCAACTTATATGCATCGCTACCAGACATATTCTCTGCTAATTATATTTGCCAGTCCCCTATCCCAGAATTTAACTGTAACAAAAGAGTGGTTCTAGGAAGAGCTTCCACTAGGTTGGACTTGCCTGAATGGACACAAGCATTAAAAAAAACCTGCTGCTTCACAACATTTGGTAATGGAACCATGTTGCTGAATCTCATTTGAAAGTCTCACTTTCTAGATTCCCCAGAGAAAAGGAATGATTTGCATGGATATCTGGTTGTTGTAGATCAACCTGCTGCTATTTTTGTGACTCTTTCTTATTGTTAATTTTGCCTCTAAGTGCTACACTTAAGGACACCTGGAAGACAGACAGAAGGCAAGTGTTTGAGCCCTAATTATCAAGACTAAGGGATCAATAGAACTATGGATTCTGTAATGGCCTTAAGGCTTGTTGAATTTGCTAGTATAGCCAGATGATACCCAGGTAGTCCTTGATTTGCAATTCTTTTTGTGATTGTTCAAAGTTAAAACAGCACTGAAAAAGTGACTTATGACCTTTTTTCACACTTACAACCGTTGCAGCATCCCCGTGGCCATATAATCAGAATTGAGGCACTTGGCAACTGGTTCATATTTATGATGGTTGCAGTGTTCCAAAGTCATGTGATCACTTTTTGCAACCTTCTGACAAGCAAAGACAAAGGGAAAGCCAGATTCATTTAACAACCTTGTTACTAACTAAACAACTGGGAAGAAAGGTTGTAAAATGAGGCAAAACTCACTTCAAAATTGTTTTGCTTAGCAATGGAAAATTTAGGCTCAGATGTGGTCATAAGTCAAGGGCTACCTGTAGAAATTTTGATCCTGTGCTTATCAATATCCAAACGATATCCTCTGTAAGTACACACTGAAAACTATAAATAGGTCCTTGAGAAGCCCACCATAGTGAACTGTAATGTGAATGCCTTAAGTAAATCTTTTCTGTCCTATATACAAAATGTGCTTCATATATTAGTTAGATGTACCATCCCAAGTATAGCATTTATAGGAACGTATGAAATATAATACTTTTAACAAGGACATTTAGTTAGGACTATTGTTTTTGTCACTTTGCTTGAGTTTTATGTATCTTAAGGTTCAAACTCTGTCTAATACTGTAGGTTTGTATCTCTTACTAATGTTTAATTATGTTTAAACCTTGTTTGTTAGTTTGTTTAATTTATATTGCCACCTATTTGCCCATGGCGATTTGAGGTGGCTTACAGAATGTAAAATCATATTTAAAATAAAAAAACAATAAAACTAACAAAAAGAATCAAATAAATTAATAAAGTACAATAGAAAAAAATCTGGAAAAAATAAATAAAAAAATCGCCCCCAACTCCCACCCACCCCGCACCGATGACAGCAGATCCCACAAGCCATTTGATGGGCTCCATCCCGCTTGGTTCCCAGGCCCACTGGCAGAACCAGGTCTTCAGTGCCTTCCGGAAGAGTGCTAGAGAGGAGACCATTCTAATCTCTGGGGGAATGATGTTCCAGAGAGAGGAAGCCACCACGGAGAAGGTCCTTCTTCTGGGTCCCACTTGTTGATGGAAGTTGAAGCAATTTTACAATTTGTTTTTTTTAACCATTAACATTTTTATTGGGTTATAAAGAATTATAAAATACAAAATACAAAGTAAATAGGAAAGCACTGAGGAGGGGAAAGGGAAGGAGAAGTGAGAAAGTTAAGAAAAAGAAAGAAAAAGAAACATTGACTTCTGACTCGCTCTGTTACAGTAAAATACATTAACATCACATCACAACTTTTTACTTTTTCATAAGCCATTTCTATAAAGATCTATCAGTATAATCGTGAAAAACTCAAAGTCATTCTTTTCCACATCAAGCACGAAGTTCAGTCTCCATGGGGAAACAAAACTTATGTTCTTTTCTTTAATCAAAGTGGTCAATTTTGCCATTTCAGCCAACTCCATCAACTTCTGCAACCATTTGTCCATAGTAGGAATCAAAGCGTCCTTCCATTTTTGTGCATACAATATATATGCTGTCAACATATATAATAACAAAGTTCCAAATTTTTTCTCTAGTTCTTTTTCTATTAAACCCAAAAGAAAAAGTTCTGGTTTCATTTTAAATCTACATTTTCAAAAAAATTGTATTAAAATATGAATCATACTTCAAATTTTTTTTGGTTTATCACATGTCCACCATAGATTATAAAAAGTCCCCTCTTTACTTTTATACTTCCAGCATTCATTTGACATACCTTTATACATTTTAGATAACTTATCTGGTGTTAAATACCAAAATTTCGCAATTTTACAATTCTTATTATGGGGCGGGAAGAAAGCATACTTACAATTTAAAATACACATGGGGAATCAATGAGATTCATAATCTATATGGATAGTAAACATGTTGAAATTGGGATGGAACTTCTGTGTTACGATTAATAATGATAACACTGTATTGTTTTATAAAATACCCTGCTATTGTTCTCACAACAAAAATAAAGGAAAGGGAAACTGTTAACTCTGCACAGTTAATCACAGTAAAGATTACTTGAGACTGTAATCAATCCTAGCTTCTATTTTCAGTTTGATACACATGATGCTATTGTGGGAGATACATTGGGATCTAGAGTTTCTCTTGGCAGGAATGCCAAATATGTCAATAACCAACTGCTACCTCACAATAAACATGAGAAACTCAAAGCCAGGTGTCCATTAAGCTGAAAAAGGCAGGAAAAGAGGTACTGGCTTAAATAGGGAAGCTGTGAATAAGTGTTGCACCTACATTTTATAGAAGGCAGTCAACTAATTTAACTGGCTTCAGTCTAGTGTGCAGTAAACATTCTTAATTAGATCTGCCATGTCAAATGTCCAGGTAGTTTCTGCTGAATCAGAGCTAGTTCAAGGAGAGACCCGAGAGCTAGTTTGTCCCATGCTGAAGTTCTTCCATAATATAGAATTGTTTAAATTAACAAGTTCTGACTTGAATTGTCCACTTTACATTTACTAAAATGTAAAGTTCCATAGCTCTTTCATACCAACGTGTCCTTTGCATTCTGCAGGATCCTTTTTTTTGTATATGATTTTGGCTTACTTCAAAAGCCCACTTTAGTTACTACTATGAGAAGCCATTTATTGATATTTAAATATTAAAACTAATCAAATATTCTAGAGAACTGTGACCATATGAAAATCAATTATCTTTGATATGTTAATATCCTATTCTGGAAGGGGATTATTCTGTGGACTCCCATGAACAAAAAGGAATAAAAAAATATAGGTTAAATGCAAAAACATTAGAAAGAGTGTTTGAAATTGCTCTGCTGAAGTGTAGGTCCTCAAAACTTGCATACTGCCTGTGCAGATGTAGTCTTTTCAGATGTAGTGTTGTCTTCTGATCAGAAATTAAGAAAAAACAATACCGGTAATAGCTATATATAAGGAAATGATAACGGCTTCCTGAAAATGGCCTGATACAAATAAATGTAAATAAATACAACAAATATTGCTTGGGCTTACATAGTATCTTGAATTGAAAGCATTTTAATTCATGGGAGAAATTTTATTTGCATGATTAAATAGAAAGTTTCAGCACCGCTAGTCTCTTAATCTGTAGCAACAATCAGATTACTGATTATTACTCAGAATAGTGATGTGTTAGTACCTTCATTTCCACATTATCTATTCCAGCTGTGTCGGCCATGCAAAAATTATGGCTACTTTTTTAAAAAAATACAGTGATTCAAAAGGTGCTTTGTTTTAATATTTTAAATACATGTTTATTACTCTTCTTCGAGACAAGCACTAAACCCATCTTACAAGCAGCCTAAACAACAACAAACAAAGGGGCGGGGGAAATGGGGTCACAATTGTGAAGCATCAGGGAGAAAGCCAAGTCTTTCCTGTCATATGACACAGCCACATCACCATCATAGCTACCAGATAAGTATTTGGGTCCAGGTCTCCAAGCAGAGATTGACTTAAGAACCAAACAGGTAAAGAGGGAGAATTCATTTTGAAGTGGTTTTGGAAGACTGTGCCCAGAGAGCTGAAGGGAAAGGTTGTGTCCTCAGCAACAGCCCAAAATGGCTAATTGATGCCAGGCTGATCTGAATGCCCTACAGTCACTTTAGCAGCATCCCTGATAAAACAGACAACATAAAACATGTCAGATTGTATCCACAGCTATGTAAAACCGCTAGGACTTGTTGCCAGTTTAAACACTACTTAAAGTAAGTACACTAAGGCCGCCTTATGTACATTTGGGGATGAGATGAAGGGATCATGCATCATGGGGACTTAGAAATAAAAAGGTTGCTGAGGATTGTTTGTGCCATGTCTGGGTGCACATGGGGAAAGGCCCTTGGATAAAATGGCAGGTATTTTACTTTTTTGCTTTTATATGATTACACTGTCAGGCCATAATTAAAAGTAATATTAAGAACTTGTATGGTATTCAGTTTCACAAATAAGTACAATTGGTTTGGGAGTAATTTTCTAACTTTACTTTGATTCTAAAAAAAGATTTGGAGCAGTGCTTTCCCCATATTAATCCATT